CACGACGTGACTTTTCTCACTTCACGAGTGACAAAAGTCACGTCGACTCTCGGAATAACCCCCATTGTCTTCAACAGTAATAACCAAAGGAGGATGATGAGGAACTTCCTTTACGAGTGGAGAAAGAGCCGACGAGATGAATGGAGCCGTATCCTGAGCGCTTACGAAACAGAGGTCTACGCTACGATTGTTGTCGTTAACCACGGAGTTTATTTGAGATAACGTCGCTGCACTATAGCTGTCGAGAAGGCTAACTGATCCAGAATGGAAATCAGAACCTGCAGGGTCCGGAAAAAGAAAGCCACTGTGGGAAGGTTTCCACGTAACACCAGCAAGATTAAAGTCGCCCAGAACAATAATCTCATCCGATACTATCCGATAGGTGACGCACAATCCATTAAGGTGAAAACGTTTGATGTCACAAACTCGGTCGGGTCGGGTCGTTGAAAATCACACATAAGTACAGCGTTCCATGCCTGTTCAACGCAGTCTACATGTCGTGTTCTATGGCTCTAGCATTCAACTCGGATCGAACAGCAATCAGGACCCCGCCACCATTGCACTTTTGACTATTGTTCGGGTTTCGATCGCAGCGAAATACCTCGTACTCACATCCGAACACCTGGCTGGAAAGCGTGCGAGAGTCTAGCCATGTCTCGGTTAATACTATTACATCATAACAGAGCATATAGCAGAGGTGTTAACCTGTGTTAACGAAGTCTGGATAAGGCTCGGTACTTGTGGGACAAGGACAGTAGACGGGGTTTGGAGTAGCCGACGTGGATGCGAGAAGTGCTGTACTACACTTTCCACGAACGTGGACCGGTGGTCAGTGCCTACAAGGAGGTCTCGCTGAGTCGATTCAAAATCTGGAGCCACATTATGTAACCAAGACAACGACTTTGAGGTCCCTGTTCTTGTCGGCGAGATACTGTGCGCGCTTGTACCGCTTTCAAAACGCTTAAGGGGAAATGGTTCGACGAGCGACGAGCACAGCATTGGAATCAGCAGCAGGCAGTGTAGCGAACCGAACAATCACGAGGAAAAAGTGAGCCGCAGCAACAACCCCGATCACCACAAGCGGAGCACCAGAACGATCAACAGCAATCGGCACCAAGCCACCAACGGTTGGCGATGATCTGTTGGCACTGCGACGAAGAAGGACACAGATTCATGGAGTGTCCAAAGCCGCAGGCGGTATTGTTCTGCTACCGCTGTGGACGGAAAGAATGTTCGTTGCGCAGTTGCTTCACATGCCGCTCGCATGCGGTAAACTACACGGCGGAGCAGCTCTCGACAAGCATTGGAACACTCCAGAATATCAACGCAATAATCATCAATATCGGAAGTTACAATCGTCCACACGCTGTTATATCCGTATTAGGGAAGGAGTTAACTGCTCTGCTGGATAGCGGAGCAAACTGTTCGCTACTTGGGGATAAACGTACCCAGCTAGCAGAGGAGTATGGTTTGTAGAAAGGAAGCGTGAAAGGAGGAATCAAAACAGCAGACGGAACACGACACAATATCAGCGAGTTTGTCTACCTTCCCATAGTGTACAACAACCGAAACGAAGTTCTCCCGGTTCTGTTAGTGCCATCAATCCCAGACTGCGTCGTCTTGGGAATGAACTTTTGGGACAAATTCGGAGTCATGACCGTTTGCTTTTCGGTCGAAGCAGAAGACAACGAGGAACGCAGTGAAGAGCAGGAGATGAAGGAGCTGTCAACAGAGCAGAAAAGGCAAACTGGGATGTACGAATATGTACGAGCATCGAATCGAGATAGGAGACGCAGTACCACGGAAGCAACGGCACTATCCCATGTCGCCGTACGTTCTCCAAGAGTTCAACAGAGAAATCGATCGGATGATTGCCCTGGACGTTATCGAAGAAGCACAGTTCTCGCTGAGGAAAAAATCACTAGTAGCCGTCAAGAACAAGACCGGTCAGTACCGCGTTTGCTTGGATGCCCGTCACCTCAACTCCATCATGGTGAATGAGGGTTACCTGATCCCGCAAATAGCATCGATCACGAACAACCTCCGGAGCAGCAAATTTATCTCGTCGATAGACCTCAAGGACGCATTCTGGCAGCTTTTATTTTATCCACGGTCGAGACCGTTAACATCCAGAGGTCACTTTCAGTTCAAGGTGGTGCCTTTCGGATTGTGTACGGCCTTGGCACGGCTGATGACGCATATCTTCGCAGACATGGAACCGCAGGCCTTTCACTACCTGGATGACAGCATCATCTGTTCGGAAAACTTCGAAGAGCACATCGCTCTGCTCGAAGAAGTAGGCCGTAGACTTCGGCAAGCGAATCTGACGATATTATCGGAGAAGTCAATGTTTTGCAGGAAACGGATGAAGTACCTCGGTTATGTGATCGACGAGCAAGGATGGCGAGTGGTCGACGAAAAGATAGAAGCAATCGTGCAGTTTCCAACACCTGCGACCAGGAAGGAGGTACATCGCTTTCTGGGCTTCTGCAACTGGAATCGTCGACTCATAGTAGGGATCTCCAAGCTAACAGCTCCACTGACGGATCTAACAAGAGCAAAGACGAAGTTCCGGTGGACGCCAGCAGCTGAAAGCAGCTCTGGTATTGGCGATGCCGGACTACGACAAACCGTTCGCCATAGCATGCGATGCGAAATCAATCAAGAAATCGAAGAAGAGGAACACCCGACCCGATCAGTTACTTTTCGCAGTAGCTGTCAGCGTTGGAGAGGAAGTACTCGGTTACGGAACGCGAGTGTCTAGCTTTGATAAGGGCAATCGAGAAGTTTAAAGGATACGTAGGAGTAAAGTTCGTCGTATATTACGATTATGCGGCTCTCAGCTATGTGAAGTCTATGAAAAACCCCACAGCATTGATGAGTCGATGGCTGTTGCAATTGAATGCATTCGACTTCGAGATCTGGTACAGGAAAGGCTCAATCAATATACTTCCTGATGCTTTGTCGAGGACGGTGGCTGAGGCAGTGTTCACCGCACAAAAGGTAGAGGATTCGTGGTACAAGAAGCTGATTGAAAATGTGAAGAATTACGGAGACCAGTATCCAGATTTTCGGATAGTGAATGATGTCCTGTTCAAGAATTGCCGCTGCAAAGACGAGATGGGAGCAGTATTCCATAAGTGGAAGCAGGTTGTTCCGAAGGAATATAGAATGCAGTTAATCCGCAGATTTCATGACGAACCGGCCGCTGCTCATTGGGAATTCTACAAGGCTTGACATAAGCTGCAAGCCCACTACTACTGGCCTCGGATGCAACATGAAATTAACAATTACGTGAATAACTGTGCCCCGGGTACGAGGAAGATGCCGTAAATGGGTAACCTCAAACCAGCGAAGATTCCATGGGAACTGATATCGGTGGACTTCGTCGGTCCTCTTACCCGTTCCAAGCGTGGAAACACGGTGCTGCTTGTGGTGGTTGATTGGATCAGCAAGTACGTCATCGTCCAGCCGATTTGACAGGAAACTTGATTTTCGTGGTCGTCGTAAAGAATCGGAAGTGCTGGAGAGGACGAGTTTGAAAGAGGACTTGATGTTCGTGGTCGGAAAGAATTAGAAGTGCTGGGCTCGGGTAGATGAATTAGACAGGCGGACATGAGAACCGTTGATGGCAAAATGCTGAGCCCAGAATACATATTGCAGATTTGATTAATCTGAAATTTACAGAAGTACCGGATGTTACGGAAAAGGGTGTTGTAAGTTGCATCTCTAAGAACACCGCATCGATAGATCAAGAGCTGCTACGAAAAAAGGTAGGAGTAGATTCTTCAAAATTCAATTAATTGAGTGAAATAGTGGGGGGGGGGGGGGGAACCTGCAAAAGCCCGATACTCGAAGTTAAGGTAGTTGAGTTAAAGATAGGATAAAGCGGTGGCTATCGAATAAATTCGAAAATTTCATGAATACTCATTTTATCAATAACTGTTATGAAGTGATAACTAGTTTGATAGGATTAAGTAAATAAAAAGAAGACTTTAAAGAAAGTTTAGTGGGTTATGAAACCACTTGATTATAAGTAGATAGTGGGATAGAAAACCACTTAATTATGAGTATATAATTAGCACAGACAAACAGACATAACACATTGAATATTTTCCATATAAAACATTGTCACTAAAACACTACCGCCATCTGTTGAGTATACTGTGATGGGTAGTACGCTGCACAGATGGCGGTACTGTGTAAACGTCAAAGCAAGGATTATTGACTATGCGCGCCACAGGTGGCGGTATTACCAACTAAAAACATTTAAATTGACCGTTAAATGCGTGTTCGAGGAACAAATTGCAAGAGTTATGTCTGTTTGTCTGTGTAATTAATATCAAGCAGAAATTGTAGCCAATGAAATTAATATTTACAGTTCGAACGGTGCTAGAAACCAATCAACTGCTGCCAGGCATGGAAAATCATTTACATTCATTTCATTTGACTCTAACTTTTTTCATCGACAAAATTCCGTAAAATGATGTATGAAGATTTTGTTGATTTTGATATTAACTAAAACTTTTGTCAATAAATCAAATCTGTATCTCTTTATGCGTGATGAACCAGAGTGAACAGAAACCATCATTGGTTTTCAGTGAATGTAAATAACATTCACTGAAAAACAATAACATATTCTACCCGTTCGTCATGAATAAGAGATACAGATTTGAGTAATTAATAAAAATTGTTGGTAGTATCAAAACCATCATTTTTTTTTGCTGCACAAGAAAATTTGATTTCCGTTGCGTAACAGCAATGTTTGTAAAAATAAGTTTTTCCATTTATTCCAACTAAAAAAAAATAAAACTACAAACGTCAAACTAGAGTCATAAAACGAATCTCAGTCAGAGATTTAAAAAAAAAAAAAAAAATATATGAAAATTCAAATCTAACAGTTAAATGAGGAACTGTCCACGAAAACCGCGACGATCTGGTCACTGAATGCCCATATTTAGCCTCTTTGGTATTTTTTTTATTGGACTCAATAAACTCACCTTCTTCAGACTGCTCACAACCGCGGTGGAAGTCGTCGTCGTCGTGGTCGTGTCATCCGTCGGCGCAACCACATCCGGCGCCGAGTCGAGCACCGCCGGTATCGTTGGAGGTACTGACGATACGCTGATATCACCATTACTGCTGTTGCAATTAACCGTGGAGCTATCATCCCCCGGTGCCTCACTACCACTGCAGTTTTGCTGCTGCTGTTCCTCCTCCTGTTGTGGTTGCGACTGCCTCACGTCTTCACTCGAATCTAACGACGAGGACGACGACGAAGACGATGAAGACGGCAGGGCATCTTCCTCGTCCGCACTGCTAGCCGCAGCAGCAGCAGCTAACCGTTTCGATGCCTCCAGGTTGGGATCGAGAGATTCAACGGATTCCGCCGTAGGCGCGTGTGTTGACGTCGTACTGATGCATTTGTCGGCCACACTGTCCTTATCACTGTTGGAGTTCTGCGGAAGTTGCTGTTGGGAACTACAGCTTGGATCTTCATCCACTACTTCCGCATCTGTTGTTGTTGTTGTCACCGACGACGACGATGACGACGCCGTCACGTCGGAGGCGTCGATGCTCGTCGATGTGGAGGCGGGTGATTCGTGCGAGTCGTGACCAACGGCACTACTGGCGGAGTACAGTGCCGTCGAATCAACGAGTGGGACGTCCTCCGCTAGCGCACTGGTGGTGGAAGAAGAAGAGGACGACGAAGACGACGATGGCGACGACGTTGAATTGACCAAGGTTATACCTAGTAGTGACTGCTGTTGATGGTGATGAATGGACGATGGTTCTTCTTCTTCATCTGCTGCTACTGTTGCCGAAACGGATGTTGTCGTACTATTATTATTACTATTAATGTCAGTGTTGTTGTTCGTTTGTAACGTGGAAAGTGGCGACTGCTGCTGTTGCGATGTGGTCGTATTGCTACTATTACTACTACTGTACTTGGGGCCGTTCACGGAGGTGGCTGACGGAGACGATTCAGGTGATTTCTTGTCGAAGATTTTACCTGAGGGGAAAAAAATGAAAAGTGTTAGAAAACTATGCTGATGTCGCAACTGAGCTGTACTGCCCATAAAGGCATAACGGTCTCATGTAGAAAAAGAGCAACCCAAGAAAAACCCAGTTTAATATTTTTTCTTTCATGGTAAAGGGTGATACGGTCAAAATTTGGTCAAGGGAAAACGCGTGTAAATCGGTGAAATCTCGATGAACATTTCAAATGGTCCTATCTGCTTTGATCGATTCTCTTCATCGACTTTCTCTTTCGTTAATAACTAAGCTGTAAAACCTTTCCCTGTTGTATTTGACGTTTTTTACGCTAGATAAGAACCTCCTTTATCAAACTATGTGGTAGAATTAGCGCGAAATCTGTTTGCATAGCAATGGTTATGAAAAGAGAAAGTCGATGAAGAGAATCGATCAAAGCAGATAGGACTATTTGAAATGTTTATCGATTTAATCGTTTATTTGAAAAATCAAATTAAATTTCTTTTTCAAGTTCAATTAGTATAAAATTCAGGAAAAATATTCAGTTAGGCTTCCGCTTTTCCAAATCCGAATTGCCGGGCCTTACGCTTGACCCCTGCCATCAGATTTTGTACAGCCACCTTGTCCACCTTCTTCGCCGCAGAAAGCCAGTTTGCCTTGAACTGCTGCTCGCCCTTAGCAGTTTTTTGGTCTTCTTTAGGTTCCGCTTGACAATAGCCCAGTATTTCTCAATTGGGCGGAGCTCTGGCGTGTTGGGAGGGTTCTTGTCCTTGGGAACCACCTGCACGTTGTTGGTGGCGTACCACTCCATGGCCTTTTTACCGTAATGGCAAGATGCCAAATCCGGCCAAAACAGTACGGAACAACCGTGTTTCTTCAGGAAAGGCAGCAGACGTTTATTCAAACACTCTTTCACGTAAATTTCTTGGTTGACAGTCCCGGAAGCTATGAAAATGCTGCTTTTCAAGCCACAGGTACAGATGGCTTGCCAAACCAGATATTTCTTTGCGAACTTTGACAGTTTCATGTGCTTGAAAACATCTGCTACCTTTCCCCTTCCTTTTGCCGTATAAAACTCCTGTCCCGGAAGCTGCTTGTAGTCGGCTTTGACGTAGGTTTCGTAGTCCATTACCACACAGTCAAACTTCGTCAGCATCGTCGTGTACAGCCTCCGGGATCGCGCTTTGGCCGTCGTATTTTGTTTATCATCGCGATTTGGAGTCACTACCTTCTTGTAAGTCGATAGTCCGGCTCGTTTTTTGGCTCAATGCACGGTTGTAGACGATACACCCAGCTTATTTGCGGCATCTCCGAGAGAGAGGTTAGGGTTTCGCTTGAAACTACCGGCAACTCTCTTTGTCGTCTCAGCGGCTTCCGGTTTTCGATTTCCCCCCGATCCAGACTTCCTGGCTGTCCACAAACGTTCCCCAAACACTTTAATTACATTTGTAACGGTTGATTTGGCAACTATTAGCGATTTTGCCAACTTTGCGTGCGAGTAGCTCGGATTTTCGCGATGCGCGAGCAAAATTTTGATACGCTGCTCTTCTTGCTTGGACGGCATTTTGACAACTGAAGAGTGAATTCCAAAATCAAAATAGGAGCAACATTCTACACACACACACCTTCAAAATGAGGGGTGTTCAGGTTTTTTAAATGCAAAATTGAAAGAAATACGTCAAGTTGATATTGACCAAATTTTGACCGTATCACCCTTTATCTTATCGATGGGACAAGTTTTGGTACTGTTTACGATATTTTCAGAACAAAACAGTTTAATTCAAATTCAGGCCTAGTACTAATCGATTCCAGAAGATAACTCATTTTTGCTTTTCGAAAACAAAAAAATACATAATGGACTATTATTAATTTATTGGCAGTGTACACTATAGTCGCTATATTCATAGTTTGGCGGATAGAATCTCGGGAACCAATTGAGCTGTCAAATAGTGGAACCAATCGAGCAAATCACGACCAACAACAGAAAAGATGTACATCAGCTGTTGCAAACAAAACTTCGGAAACCGTTTTCTCGTGATTCAAGGCTCGCCTAAGCAAACTAACACTATATTTGGGCTGAGGAAAGATTCTCCTATCCGATGATGCCGGTAATTTGCGTTCCATTGTCAAGTAAAGATTAATTAACGTTTTGTTTATAAAAGTTGATAGGACCTTTTCAATAGTTGGTCTACAAAATATTGAATTGGTTCCGCTTTTTGATAGATCGAAATTCTATCCGCCAGACTATGAATATAGCGACTATAGTGTACACATGTCACGTGTTCGCGAGCCGGTATTTTCTGAATCACCTTGCCCTTAAATGCTGCACAGTAGGCCTGACCGTTTTGGTATGTGTGACGCATCTTCAATGTGAAACATATATCAAATAGACAAGAAAAATCATGGCGGTAGGGGTGAGAGGAGCATAGTGAACAGGTGGGGCATAGTGAGCATCCCATGTACCAGCTTGGATTTCCGGCCGTTCGGAACAAATTTATTGGTGGTAGGATCAATATCATAATGATACTGAACCTACTACCAGTTGATTTGTTTCATGCAGCTAGAGATCCAGGGCCAAACTGCGGGATGCTCACTATGCCCCACCTGTTCACTATGCCCCTCCTCCCCCTATACCCATCATTTTCCAGGAAACTTTCAAGCACTGGCTGTGTTGGTGTTGGATTAAGATTAGATTTGATTAGATTTTGGTATTATCATACAGGTACCGTAAAACGGGGTATCTTTGATAATGCGGGTAACTTTGATAGTAGAATATAATGATTAAATTTACTCTCTGCGCTTTTTCCGAATTGGAAACATTGGTTCCATATTGTAGCTTAGAATATTTCCGTTGATATCGTACATAGTTTTTTATAGTATGTTTTAATTATTTTGCAAACATATTAAAAAACTATTTTCTTGTTCTTCGTCTGTTTGAAAAGCACTCAAACCATCGCTTATGAAATGTAATTACGATATTGCCATCACAAATTTAATGTTGTATTCTTATTGCTTATAATGTTTTCTGATTATATACTCATTCAAAGTTTCATATTTCTTAAACTAAATTTTTTGAGTTTCACGCATGGTTTTCTACATTCATCGAGCATTATCAAAGTAACATTTGAGAAACATTCATTGCTGTAAAAAATATTTAGAATATTCTTTAAAAAACTATCAATGTTACTCCGTTGTACGGTACACTTCCTAATTGAAAAAAAAATGATTGCAAAAATTGTCGTGAGATATACCGGTCATGGCATGTTGTAACAACAACAAATTATCGAAAAATAGACTAGGTACTTACGACATTTCTTCTGAATTCCCAATCGATACTAATTTGTTTTACATCGACTACGTTAAAAACTTCGTGCTTGATAGAATCTGGTAGTCGTAGTTAGCGAACTTAAAATGCCGCACTTCACCTGGAAAATTAGACACTTTTGCTCAGCCAGTCGAATTCCAGACGAAGCCGAATTCCGAACATCATTATTGTGTACATGCTGGTGACAATTCTCTGATGACACAATGAAAACCTATTCACAAAGACCTCCCCTGATCCTATCCTTGTAATGTATTGTAATTATTCAAGTAGGGTGTCGAACATACGTTCTGTAATTTCGACCTCTAGGAAACAGCATCCTATAATTTTTCACAACCATTTTCAGGGTACTGAAAATCAACGAGTCAACCATCAACGAAGAATACATAAGATGCTAAGTTTAAATAGCACATAGGAATCTTACGTCGTTAGCAGAATACCTGGAAGCCGTTTCGTTTTCCTAAATCCATTCCGGTTGACAAGCTATGGAAGACGCTTCCAAATGATTAATCTGCAGACTCTTTAGATCACTAAGGCGACCCTAGTTTCTGATAACGTACAGGGGAAGGTGGGTTAGCTCGCTATCCTAGGACCAATTCCTATGCAGAAAAATATAAGAATCCCGCACCAGGCCACCCTACCAATATCTTACCATACCTGAGAACACAATGCTGGATGTGCACGGACGATCTTCTTGACGGCGGGCTGAGCAAATAAGCTTATCAACGCAATTATTACACTAATCTCAGACGGATTTGATTCAGAATCAGTGCTGCAAAATTTCGACAATACACGATGATATTGACAGTTCAACTTTGGTCACTCATTTGAGCTAACAGTCATCGTCAAGGCAAACCATGTCAATTTTCAATGACAATGCTGTCAGTGACGAACATGTGTCGAATTTTTATTAACTGAATTGTAACGAAATTAAATGACTTCAGCAACACAATTACATGGAGCCGGTCAAGTGAACAAGCATTAACATCAAAGAAGAAACATGCTTGCTTGGCCACCGCAAGTTCAAATACCTGCGGGTAAGATTTGCACCAAGATCCGCTCCAAATCGAAACAATGAGTTTTGAGTTCGTTCATTTCAAAGGCGGTAACTGCTTATTGAACATTTGCCCGGGTTTTAATACTCCGTTTCTTCGGATCTTCGGCTCAAAGAATGTTATTTCTAAGCTGCAGTTGCTAATGTTCAATTTCAAGATCGGCTTTGTTACTCCACTTCCATTAATCTTGAACACCTCAAGATGTGCATCCTGGGCTACTGCTTGCCTTCGCTTTGACCTTCCCACACACTAAGTTTTTTCTACCGAGCTCGGCTGTGCAAATCTCGGCAAAAAAAGTTTTACAGAGCTCAGCAAACATTTCATTTGTTTGCTGAGATTCAGCTAAGCATGATCCGAGACTCAGCAATCAAATGTTACTTTTGCTGAGATCTCAGTTAAACTTATTTTTACCGAGATTTGCACAGCCGAGCTCGGTGGAAAAAATTAAGTGTGCAGGACAAATTTTCTGTCGATTTCTATAATTTATTTTTACAGGCTCCGCCACTCAGAGCTTCTTGGTCTGCCTCTATTGCGATGTCCTGTCGGATTCCAATCCAATGATTGCTTGTGTAATTTCATTTCCTTTCTTTCGTAGTTTGTAGTCAATCAACATTCTCGATTTTCCGATGTTATCGGCTGTTGATTACATCGGCAATGGAGCTCAGCATTCGAGATCCAATTGTGAAGTCACCATGCACGGATTACGTACCGCGTTGAATGAAGACCTGCAGATTTGGAATGTTCCCTGTTGATTAGCGCCACGTTTCGCTGCCATAAGGGCATATATTTGATCTCCAAGTATTTCGTTAACTCGCAGATGCAACCTAACCTTCTTGATTGGTGTACCTATGCCGCTATCCAACTGCTTAGATATTGCTTACCACTGCTTGCCCAACTATCGCAAAAGTAGGATATTCAACGATTTGCTCTTATTGACGATCATGATACCCAGCATAATGACGATGATGAGCAGCGTTCAGCTAGGTCGTTGAGCTTACTGTGCATATCGGAGTGCCGTTGTGCTAATAGAGTTGGACAGAGTTACGTTATGCAGAAGCCTCTTAATGCGCATCGATGAGGTTTGCAATTTTATACAAACCTATCTTGCATCCCAGGACGTCTTACAAATATGTGTAATTGAGTCGGTCGTTCGGTTGAATAATTGACCAGCTCAAGAATGATACTGGGCGTGACAATATTGTCATGGGCATGACAAGGGTTTCTGCTGCCGCTTGGATCGCTTTTTTTTTATACTTTTTCGGTACTTTTTAATATAGAATGGTAACGTTAAATCCAATTAAATTATTAGTTAACCCATCTTAAAAAAGATAGTTTAGTGCTATTAATCATCTCCCTATCAAAATTCAAAATATCAGCACTGTAGAGCCACACTCTGTGTTTTCACTGAAGGTACACTTGAGAGCGCTCTCGAGTGTAGCTTCAGTGAAAACACAGAGTGTGGCTCTACGGTGCGGATACTTTGAATTTTGATAGGGAGAGTAATAGCACTAAACTATCTATTTTAAGATGGGTTAACTGAAAATTCAACTGGATTTAACGTAAGCATTCTATATTAAAACTAATGAAAAAGTCCCAAAAGAGAGATCCATCACTGCTTCTTGGTATAGTCTACTAATTCAAATTTGTAGTGGTAATACGGAACATTTAGATTCTTGAATACAGATGACTGCTGTTTCTGGGCATCACTTGCTTCTTCCATCTTCATTGTTCTACACGCTGGGCTGACACGTTATCTTTCAGCACATCTTCTTCGATCACTCTACATTTTTCTCTGTTTCCTTGTCGTTGTTGTCCAGCGATGCATAGTTTAAGACAGGATTTCATTTTACGTAAGAAACATTTGTTTTTTATTCCGTCATAGAATATATTACCCTTCTGATTATGGAAATGAACCAAATCGAGATTTTTCCTTGTCCCGTCCATATACACACCTCGTACACCGGTGTGCATATCGAGGCGTAACTTCACTGGAAGATCGTACACTCGCACGTATTGAACGTAGTCCTCCACAGACGACAAGCGTATATGAACTACTTTTCCATCTACGTAATGGAATATTAAATCTTCTGTACTCTCTAAGGGTAAATTCAGCAAATAAATCATGGGTTAACTGCCACATTTGCCGTAAGGTATCACAACCGGATCAATTTTGCGCGATACTTCACGGAGAAGTATACTCCATTTGTATTTGCATTGCAAATCACTTCACCGAGTGTGACTTGATACCGGTAATAAGAGCCAGAGGGGTCAATTCACCTAGCTTCTATTGGGAATGCATAATATTTCTCCAATTCCAACATTAATTTATAACTCAACATCCAATAATAAATTCTATGTGAGAAATCATACAGACTTCATTGGACACATAAAGTTCAGATGATTTTGTGGAGCAATTTTCAATTATGAGATCACATGAAAAGTAATGTGAAACTCACATGGATATTATCCACTGGTTTATCTATTTATTTCATGAGTGTACTGTATCGGATTTGCTTTTCCCCAAACAAATTTTTCGTTTTTCTAACCGAGAAAAAACCAACATCGAAAACAAACGTTACCAATTTATTGATACGTTTCGTCGTCATTTCAAATTTGAACTTCAAATACATAGCTTCCAAAAACAAACGGGGGCTTCCCTGAGTCGTCGATAACATAATCAGCTTCGCAGTGAAAGCTAGTGTGACTTAAAATTTCAATCTCTTCCTAGTATGTCGCTCACCTAGGCTAGTGTCCAGTTCCGGCGATCCAGCCTTATTTGTTTCGGTAAAGTCTTCTTCCTCGCTGAACCAATTTTCCTCCTCCGCGTCCAGCTGCCTCTGATCCCTCCGGTATCGGTTACTATTCCGCAGAATCGATGGTACGCTGATTGAAAGTTAACAAAAAAAATCATGTTTATATCTAACTTTATCTGACGATTTCCCATTCAACTCACCTGTCTAGATTTCCTTTCTCCTTCTCCTTCAGTCGATCCTGCTGCTGGTCATACTTGTTCTTCAGTGTTTTGAACGTTTGGACATACTGGACATCGTCGAAGATTTTACCAAAATTTTCTACAAAGTACGTATACAAGGATTTGATGTCCTCGATCTTGATGAACTCGAACAGCTCCAGGATGGCGGACTCCAGCAGATTATATCGGCCATTGTTCCGCACGAAGGCATCCACCACCGGTGCGAAGAGGTTCCCCTTTACTATATGCCTGCAATAATTGTAATATCCGTGTTAATATTGAACGCCGCCTTCATTGGGAAAAATCAATTTTGAAATCATTTAATTAATGTAATAATTTGAGTGAACCACCACCATCGCAAAACGCTTCATCAACTCATCTACTCGCCTATTATAGAATTCATCTTTCAGTGCGATGATCTTCCGCAGAAACCGCAGGGCGCCTAGCACTAGGAACGTGTGTGTGCTCTTCATCAATACCAGTATTCGACGCAGCAGATCCTTGTTGATGATGCAGTTCTTGATGTGGTAGGTGTGGTGCTCAACGCAGAACGACAACAACTCTAGCACTAGCCCGAGCAGCTGAACCGTGTGATATTCTTCGTTGGCCGGTTTCTCGGAGAGGGTGTTCAGCAGTAGTGGAGCTGCAAACCATCGGGAAAAGAGCGTCAGTAAATGTAAGCACCCATAAGAATGTCCCCTCATACCTATTAGCGTCTGTATGCTGTGCTTGTAGAAAAAGTTCAGGAAGTCTGATTTCTCCGACTTGTTCACCGAGCTGAGCATATTCTCCGGATCGAGCAGTATCCGTAAAACGCCCATCAACTGAACAGCGCCTCCCAGTTCCGGTTCCGAGTCTGATAGCATCTGCTCAATAGCGATATTGATAAGTGTTTGATCCTACGGAATGCAACAGAATTCTCCGTTATCGATTGCACACATGAAATTAGTCACAGCTCTATTTCGGGAACGGGCGCACATGGTAAAAATAAAATCGCAAAACGTAATCTCACAAATGGCAACAGTGACCTTCCCCAGACAAGGGCTTTCCCGCTGATAAATTCCAAGAACGAATTATACTGTTTTGTAACGCAAGCTCTCCGTTGAGCACAACAGTATGAGAGCCATTATCAGCCATCAACCAATGACGCACTGCTGATAAGAACAAACCTTCTCGCCGTCCCTGTTCCCCACACTTACCTCCTCCGTATCCGAGTTGTTGTACTGCTGCAACGTGTAGTCGCGCACAATCGACGGAGAGTATTCGACGATTGTCGTCAAAATATCTATTGAGGCGGCCTTCGTTTTCTTGTCGTTGATGGCCAGCGTAATCTCCAGCGCCGGCAGTACGCCAAGACTGATCAACGTCTTGTAGAAGGTTTCCTTGCTCTGCGGTTGCAAATACTGCGCAAAGTTGCAAAACTCTTTCAGAAACAGGATAATATCCCGCCGCTTGCTATCCAAAGTGCTAGGGTCTGTTAAGAGGGTGAACAAATCGTCCAGGAATTTTTCATCCTCCTGGATCAGGGTGACTATCTCCACCTTGTTAAAAAAGATGAACGAGGAAAGCGTATTCAGCATGTTGTCCTCGAACACCGATGGCGTCGGCAGAACAATGTCCTGAATATATTGCACCCGGTATGTCTGATGTATCTTTGCCAGCAGATCGGTATTGCGAATAGGAATCGCTTCGCGGAATTTGGCCAACTGTTTGAGATACTGCCGGTGCTGCTTCGGCGGATTACCCGTAGGATCATACTCCAAACAGCCAACAACGTCGAAGATCGTATCCTCGGCGAACATGATCTCAAACAGGGCATTCTTGTTCAGCAGAAAAATGTTCTTAAAAATTTCGTACAAATAATGCAGTCCTTCGTGATTTTCGAGATCCTCGCAGATGTGGAACAGGTTCAGCAGCTTTTTGATGTAGTTTTCACTCTCGATCGCTTGCGCCAGCTTGTCCTTCCGAATCTGCGAGGTCAGTCCATTGGCAATCACTTCAGAGATGTCCTCTAATCGGGACAGCTCACAGGGGGGTAGTTCGATGGGCGGTGCCGAGTCCGACATGTCCTCGAACCGTTCGTCTTCCGATTCTTCCACGACATCCTGCGTTATTTCGACGGAGGGATCTTTGCCTTGTACCTGTTGAAGCATAAAGAAAATCGTGAATTAAGTATGGTCTATAAATATGTAGTTTGCACTCCGTGAACCAACCTGGCAAATTTTCTCCCATATTTCGTCACAGCCTGCCTTCTCCTGGAAACTGAGCGCAAGGTCGAAGTTATCGCCCTCGCTCCACACGATCAGTGTGTCCTGCTGTTTGTGATAGATTGTGTCGGGGTGGATTTTGCTTTCCAGCAGCATCGATCCATCGTTTTCTGCGTGCACTAGCAGGGAGACACCTGTTGGGAGTTAAACAAACAAAAGAAACGAATTAGCTCGGATCTTATTAGTGTTGCGTCAAAGTATGAGCTCTAATATATAGGCATTCCTGGATGGGTCCAGAGTAACCCATTAAGTTTATTTGAACATGGTTTGGAAATTTTTAGGAAATGTATCCAAAATTATACACACTTAATTTTCATTGCCGAATCTCAAACACATTTCAGGGTCCATTAAAATATTCGGTATCGCGAAGCAGGGTGAGGCATTGCTGAATGTTTCAAAGTGTTACGCTACATTTAAGGTGTGGAGGTTGTAATGGATGTTGTTACGCGTTACTTTAATAAAAAAAATAAAACAGACAATATTTAAGTTATCAAGTTTAAGTTGATCTATTCAAAACACTTTTAGTACATCCAAATTGTTTTTATTTGTTTACTTTGATGAAAACTGAATAGTTAAGCGTTACGACTGTCTAAAACCTCTGAAAATCTGTCCACGTAATTTATAAACAGCACCACTAATCTAATTCAAGGAAAATATCCTCGGACTTCTATTGATCTATCTTCAGCATTTCGTTACAAATTTCCTCAGCAATTCTTTAGAACTCCCTTTAGGGTTTCAGTAGAATTCTCTTAATGATTCCTTTGAAATTCTACTCAGAATGGCTTTATTACGCTAAGAATTCACTCAAAGTTCTTTGATCATTCCCTCAATTATGTTACCTTTTTTAATCTAAACCCGCTTGTAATCGGCCCATCCCCTAGAAGTAGTATTAAGCAGTGGCGTCGCGTCCACATGTGCATCCTGTGCTGTTACAAGATTTCCGCGACAAATAAAAAAAACTGTTTTCATTGCTTGAAAATACCATTTGTATTACTATTACATGAAATTTCAAGCTTTTTGCCTCAACTTAGTGTTCTGTGAAGCACTTCTACATTTCAATTGAGAGCTGTATGTGCCTGTACCATCCTAGTATGCCCAAGAAAGTCCAACCAGAAAAATTAATAGACCGGACGGAAAATGAACCCAGCCGCCTCTCCAGCATGGACTTACTTCGTAGCTGCGTCTTTACCGACTGACCTTAGGGAGTCAATATACAATGCATCATCTACAGTTATTTATGTTTTTTTGGGATTGAGACTCAATTGAATAAAAGCGGCGCCGGTGGTGTAGTGATAAGCGTGATTATCTCTCACCCCAGAAGGCCTGGGTTCAATCCGAGTCGGCGCCACCAGGATGTTCTGAGGCATAACATCTTTGATCACGCCTTCTTTCGGTCCCCGGTCCCCGCACGCTATGTTTAAAGGCGACTTTCATTCAAAGTGAATGTACCTAAAATTTTATTCCATTAGAGATGATAGTTTGGGACCTCTAGTTTCATAATCTGTAAGATTTAAAATATTTCATCGGTGAAATTTGATTTTGTTAATTTTTTTAACGTAAAAATACGTTTTGATTTTTTTTTTTTAATATTGTAACAAGATGTCGCAAATCTAAAAACAGCAAATTTTTCCTCTAGTTTTAAGAAAAAAAATTCTGTAAAAACATTTTTTTCTGTGTCGTCATGGCAAAAAGTTGGACTCAAAAAACCGGAAAAATCGAGGGGGGCGACACATCTAAATCTCAAGTGTAGATGCTCAACAAATCTCACACTAGCGAATCAATCTTCGAAAAATCTTCTTTCATTTGTCGCATCTATTTGCATCGCGCATCATCTTTTTGCAGGAAATCTTCAGAATCGTCATCAATCTTCTTTCTATCTACTCAGCGTGCGCGCAGCTACCAACAGCAAAACACAATCTTTTCTGCATCGTAGAAAGAGTCGTCCCCTTCGGGAAAAAATCAATCATTTTTTCGTATATATTCAGACGCCTACTGCTATTTATATAGCACTGAAAATAGATCTTATTAGGAGTATTTTTTTAAGGGAATTAAATTCTGAATTCCTCCGAAGATGGTTCCAATAAAATTTTGAGGATAATTTCTATGAAATTCGAGTATTCCAAGGATATTCAGGTGATGATTTTTAGAAACTTCAAAAGAGAGTTCCAAGGAAATTGAGGACCATTTCAAAGAATTAATGGGAATTCTGAGCAGAATTAAAAAGTAGAAGGGTCTGTGCCTAGGGGCACGAACGGAAGCTTGACGTAGGACCGCTAGTGGACGGAATAAATGTGAAGAGCATTCAGTTCTTTTAATTGATCAATTATCTATTATCTCAACTCTTTCCGTTTTTGAATTGTAGTCGTATCAAATTTGTAGTATTTTTTTTTTCAAAGAGCAAGTTGATTAAGAAAATCAATCAAAATCACTTGCACCCCTGCTTTCAAGTTTGGGTACAAAATTACAACTCTGGAGAGCATTTTGTGTGGTCGTTGGGGGCTTGTGGTTCTGAATATGGACAGACAAGCACAGATAAATTCTATTCCAACTCTTTGCTGATGTAAGCTTGATGGCCCTGAAAAAGGCCGTTTTATTGAAGAGGACATCCATGGCCACTCACGCTTGGCGTGTTTAGTGTAGGTGACAGCATCACGGACCTCATTTTCCAGGAACACCTTCAGTACACCTCGTAGATCAGACCGGAGATACGTTTGACACCACCACGGTGAGTCAGACGACCGATGGCGGTTATCTCGAAGAACTTTTCTGTTCACCACGCCGTCCGAAGCGAAAATGAGCTAATGCCATACAGCAGCGCTCTTTTATATCTTTTCAGGTTAAAGCAGAATGATGTGCAACCAAGTGGTATAAAAGCTACAAAGACTCCTCCCATTATGAGTAGTCTGCTATCAAGTAGCGACACTGGCTCTTTTCCTTTTGAGTACACGGCAAATGAGAAAGACCCAAATGTGAGTTTAATACACTCATAATCGCCAAAAGTGCAAGAATTCAGCCATGAGTAAATTTGTCTCATGGTTTCCTGTGGAAAACCTAAAAAATCTGCCAGAAAATGAGAAAATTGACGAAAATTTCATTCAGTCTCGGAGTAGTACCAATAGACTGAGTGAATCCAATCTTTACTTTTCTCAAATTCAGGAATTTTTCCCTGGAAAATCCTGGGAAAACATAAGGCAAATTTACTCATCGCTGAGTTCCTGAACTTTATTTCTTATTTCTGAGATAACTAAACTCAAATTTGGGTCGATCTCATTCGCCGTGATATCACCTTGAAAGATATCGGCGCCGGTGGTTAGCGTGATTACCTCTCACCCCAGCAGGCCTGGGTCCAATCTCAGTCGGCGCCACCGGCATGTTCTAAGGCATAACAGCTCTGATCACGCCTTCCTTCGGGAAATAAAGCCGTTGGTCCCCGGTTGAGTTGATGGGTTGATTGGTAGGGCCTTGGTGTGGGAACTGCCTCCCTGGCGTCGGTAGCATTGGAGCTCAGTACGGAAAACAAATCTCGCGTTACTTTTCAATAGGTCCTATCTACATTGATCGATTCTCTGGGAATTATATGCTAGATTGTTGCTTCTTCCATCGAAAATATCCGGCCGTGGCGATTCAAAGTTGATCAAAGTTGATCCAAATAATTTGTACCCCTGCTTCCAGTTTGATTACATGAGCATTTTGTGTGATCGTTGGTTCTGAATATGGACAAACAGGCAGATGAATTCTATTCCTACTCTTTACTGTAATAAGCTTGGTGGCCCTGAAAAGAGCCGTTTTGTTGCCAAAGTTTTTTTTTTTTTTTCTTTTGGTTTGTTTTTTTCCGTCGATCTTGTTTTCCGTGCTGAGCACCAATGCTACCGACGTGCCAGGAAGGCAGCTCCCACACCTGGACTTTACCTATCGACCCATCAACTCATGAACCAGGGACCAACGGCTTTACTTCCCATCCGAAGGAAGACGTGATCAGAGATGTTATGCCTCAGAACATCCCGGCGGCGCCGACTGGGATTGAACCTAGACCTGCTGGGGTGAGAGGTAATCACGCTTACCACTACACCACCGGCGCCGTTAAGTTGCCAAAGTTGGTGATGATTTAACCTCCGAAACCAAACAGAGTGCGTTTCTGTTACTTCAAAACGCAGATGACAGCCATGGCCGCTTACGCTTGGCGTGTTTAGTGTAGGTGACAGCATCACGGATCTCAGTTTTCAGGAACACCTTCAGCACACCTCGTAAATCAGACCGGAGATACGTCAGACACCGCCACGGCGAGCCAGATGACGGATGGTGGTTATCTCGAAGAATTTGCGTTTGGTTCTGAATATGGCGATGAGTGGGCAAAATATTACACAATTCCATCCTCCCTATTCGCACGCGCCCGAGGATCGGAGGCGAATGCCACTTCGACTTGTTTCGTCTACTTACTACTCTCTGACGACTGTGCTGGGGAAGCAGCATATGCAATGTAGGTAATTGGTGGATTTGTTAATTAATTCGACGCTTTTGGACAATGCTGGACATTAACCAGTTTTTCAATAGTGTCTTGTTGAAATCAACATTCGGAAGCATTGTTATCGATGCGTAGCCATATTTCTGATTGATTAGTGATACAATTATTGAAATTGAACCTGGGGCAGCTGAGTTATTAACGTTCAAAATCTTTCTTAATTTGTTACATGTTCCATTTTCGGTTTTCACAAAGTGTACCCCCATATAGAAATCAAAGACGTAGTCCTACGTCAAAAGAAATTCCTATGGAAATACCATGGAGAATACTAAGTGCTGAGGAGAACTACAAGGGATTTTTATAGGAGTATTTTTCGGGCAATTGCTGGAATTATTAATAATATGAAGAGCATTGCAGAGTGAATTCAATGAGTATTTTGCAAAAGATGTTCAAGAGCATTATGAAGGAAATTATAAGAGAATTCAAGTTTTCCATAAAGATTCAAGGTTTGAGACAAAAATGGAAATTCTGAGGCTTAAGTTCAAACTGTGATCCAACTTTAATTTAACTGTGATAAAATTAAATATCACTAGGATAGTTAATAACAAATTGAACCAATTCTCCCAAATCGTGACTTGCTTCTGTCCTATTCTTCTTTCTGACGCTGTCAACTTG